TTCCACGTGAGAGTGTGGCAGGGAAAACAATGTCCTCAGGGGGGTCAGAAGGAGAAGGAAAATGTGACGAATAGGCTGAGAACGTTGATGATGTTCCATGACCCAGGAAGGAGGGTCCCAGTGGGCACTGGAGAAATGGTAGGAGGGCAGGGAAGAGGGAAGGTTGAGTTTGGGAAGGGTGAGAACAGAGAATGGGAAAGCGAGGATGGGGCAGGCTACCTCACTGGAGTCACATGGTGGGTGGTCAGCACAGATCACCGGCATATGGGCACAATGAACTCTGAGATAGCTAAAAGAACGAACCCCCGTAGTCACCTAGTGCATTAAAGATGGGTGTGTTTCAGAGGGCACCTTGAGTTCCCAGAAACCAGCAGCATCCTGGACTTCTTGATCTGAGGGTGTCCGAGTTGGGTGAGGAGGCCAGCCACAGGATTCTTTCACTAGGCAGGCTCACACCCAATGTTGGATATGGGAACAGTTTCTGATGGACTACCGCACGGTTCTGCATGCTTGAAAGGAAAGGGTCCTGGGCTGTCTATGAAGTGGGAGGCTCAAATTACGGAAAGATAGAGTACAGCAATGGGAAAGGCTGGGAGGCTTGAGCTGACACCGTTGCAGAGAACAGACTAAGGCCTTAAACAGACCCGCAGAGATGGCCTTCGAGTTAGCAAGACAGTGTATTCTTTGTGTGTCATTTCTCAGAAGGAGACTGAGATTTTAGAGCAAACTTTACATAAACTCTCTTGAGAAGCAGTAGGTACTGGAGCCATAGGGACCTTGAGCAAGTTACTTCCTAAATCTCCATTTTTTTTTTTTTTGCGTCTGTTGAGTAGTGATAGTAGTACATATTAATACAGGCTCGTGGTTCTCAAAATTTAAACTGACTCTGTCTGAGATGCTAGTCTCAGGTGCCGCCTCCAGAGATTTCAGTTTAGTACCTCTGGGGTGGGATGCACTGTCAGAGGATTTTTAGGATTGAATGCAAAATGTTTAGCATATGCCTGGCCCACGTCAGCTATTAAAATCCATAAATAATATTCCTTTTTGGGTGGACCCAACATGGAGGAGCAACTTTCTTCGGGAAATGTAACTTCCTCTGGCATCACTGAAAATCAAACAGAAGTAAAAAAAACGAAGAAGCAAAAAAACCAAAACCAAAACAAAAAAATGCCAGGCCTCATTCTAAAGTACAAGCTTTTTTAAAAACTATTTTAAAAAACAGAAAGGAATTCTTATACTTCTAAGAATACTGTGCAAGTGGACGGCTATCATACTTCCTAGTTACTCTTACTACCAAGTTACAATGTGCAGATTATAAAGTGGTGTCAACAACACAACCAGGCTTAAAAAAACTTGTTGATGAAAAGTTGTGAAGGAGAAGGTGTGAGGTTGTTTAATGCAACTTACGCACATCATCCAATCAGTTATTTTGGGCAATGAAGTAAATACCTGCCTGGAGTTGAGGCATGGTGGAAATTAATTTTCAACAGGATTAACAAGAAAATGCCTTTTCTTGGCAAACTGATGCTTTCAACCATTTACCTCCAGTACAAAAGTGTTTAGTGTTTTTGAAATAGCAACAGAGTCAAAATTCTTCTGAAATCATGTTTTTAATGGACAATCTGAGGGTCTACAAACATTCATGGGTTAAATCTGTGGTGCCACCCAATATTTGATATAGAAAGTTCCACAACTAAAGAATGTGGGCCATTTCTTGGATTTTGTTTTCACTGAATTTCTCAACATTTAAGTGGCTGAAAACAGCTCTGGTTTTATTTTCAGCTGAAGGTACCCTCCATAGAGGGGAAGCATGAGATATGATATGACGAAATTCTTGCTTGATATATCCCCAGTGCCTGGCACATAGTAGGTCCTCACTTGTGTTTAATAGATCTAAAAGTTCTGACACCAGGAGGCAAAGCACTTCTCTGAAAACTTACCAGCCTCCCAGATAACATATTTGAGACTTCCCACAGAAGAGCAGTTCAAATGTTGATTTCTGATAGTTCTGTAAAGTCACAATACACATGTTTAGCACCAATGAAATCCTGGAACCTCTTGTTCACTGGCTTGCAGTGAACATACTGCCTCTTCCAGAGGGCTAAGGTGCTGGTAACTCTGACCTGATTACAGCAACAGACTGGCCCCTGGTGGTGGTAAAGCAAAGAGAATCACCATTCTGAGAGACGGATATACGGCTGTCTCTCCCTCCCATGTGTTTCAGACCTCACTGCCTGGGGGAGAATGTTAACTTTATTTTAATCATAGGAAATATCCCCTACCTAAAGGGATAACATGCACACAGACTTTTCTTTTGAACTTACGTCAACTTTTCTGAACACATTTATTCTTTAGATCACAAAAAATTCCTCATAATAAAATGTTTCTAAATCCTGCGGAATTGACAGAGTGCTTAGACACATTGTAACGCCTCCGATAAATATAATTAAAAATTTAAACTTAAAGAAGGAATAACTTAGCAAAATATCAAGTCTTTGCCACAGTGACTTAGATTTCCTCACTGAAATATTGTTTCAAACTGGGTAAACTTTCGAACTGTTCACAAATGCACATCCTTTCATGATCTTTAAATTTAAAAACCTGACTTTTAAATAAAAACCTAGAGTGCCAAGAAAAAAATTTGGCTTAGAAAGAAAATGTTCTGTAAAAGGCCATAAAATGTGAGTTAAAATAGGTTCCTGTACTTAACTACCTTTACCTGATTTTCCCCTAAATATGTTATGAATAATGTAAAAAGTCACCAAGTATAACCACCCACATTGCAGACAGTTTATATCATGTAAGTTTTAAATCTCATTTCGTGTCACTACCTCTAGAAACCCAGCACTTACCTTTTATGGAAAAAAAAAAGCAGCATCTAATTTTTCATGGATTTTGGTAGAGCTTTTCAACTGGCTTTTTTCTTTTCTAACGGATTTTCCTATATAATTAGAATTTGCTTCTGATCAGCTAAACTGTCAATGAAAAGCTAAAGCTCTTGGGGCGCCTGGGTGGCTCAGTCAGTTAAGCGTCTGCCTTTAGCTCACGTCATGATCCCAGGATCCTGGGATCGAGCCCCTCATCGAGCCCCTCATCGAGCCCCACATTGAGCCCCACATTGGGCTTCCTGCTCAGCAGGGAGCCTGCTTCTCCTTCTCCTTCTGCCTATCACTCCCCCTGCTTGTGCTCTCCCTCTCTCTGTCAAATAAGTAAATAAAATCTTTAAAAAAAAAAAAAAAAAAGCTAAAGCTCTCTCAAACCTCAAATCCATCTGGCATGGGTTTTAAATTTCAGACATCCTATAAAAGATCACACCAAGTAATTAATCACTTAACTCTTAGAAAAATTAGAATTTCATTTTCTTCAATAAAAACATTAAGAATAGTAATTAGAGTAAAAATCATGTCAATGCCAGTAAGGCACAAATTGCTACATGAAGGTGGACTGACTGCCGGAAATCACTCTCAAATTCTGAGCCAGATTCATTTTCATCGTAAATTTCAAAGATGAATTGTACAAAATCCAATCTAAGCAGAAGCATTTAACAATTTTGTCTTCCATTCCCATTCATATTTCTGGGCACAAGAGCCAAAAACAATCAAATGTAAATATACAAGTGCATATATGTATATATATGGATTCTTAGTGTTTATAAATGAATTCTTATTGTGTATATATGAATTCTGAAAGCTTTGTGGAATCTACCATACATCTGAAAAATGTCTAGCATAAATCACATACAAATGTCAAGTAAAACTCAGACAAGTTTCATTGGTGAAGCTGATAAACTATTAGGAGTAGATTTTATTGCATTTATTTGGCTCCTCTCATTGGACTATTTGTTGTAGACACGAACATCTTTCTCAGCATGTCCATGCTCTGTCTTGAATGCCAAGGCCAGAGATTCTTTTTTAGTGCCGTGCATAGTAAATTACAGTATATTCTGAAACAGTAAACTATAGATACCAACTACTCGGACTATCTGGGTCTTAACTGATCCCTTAAGCACTAGGGCAGAGGAGGGTAAATCTAGGGAGATACAGGCCATCAATATACCAAACAACTCACTGTTGGGTGTTGTCCAGAAACCAAGCTGCTGAATGCTAAAAACTGGAGATTGGCTTTACCAGGGAGAAACTGGTCGCCTTACTGCACAATTTCCCTAGAGCTTCAAACTCCTCTTTGGACTCTGCTTTGGGATTTTACTATTTCAAAGAAAACAACCAAATTTATGATTTGATACAGGGGCTAGCTTGAGCAGAGCTTAATACTGTCTATAACTCCATTTTAAGGAAGAATTGAAATTCGGATAAAATAATAAGACACAGGAGGTGTGGGGCTGGCTTAGTTGGTAGAGTGTGTGACTTGATCTCAGGGTTGTAAGTTTGAGCTCCATGTTGGGTGTAGAGATTACTTTAAAATCTTTAAAAAAATAAGACACAGGAGATCAGTCTTTGGTGGTTTTAATATATAAGCACTAGCTCTCTGAGAAGTCCACTGAAGAAAAAAAGTAAAGGCACTTAAGATTTTATTCTCCTGGTGAAGGGAAGGAGACATTAAGTTATGGTAAAGAGGTTTGTTAAGTGTGGGGCGCCAGGCTCATACCTTTTATTTATAGACACCAGGTACATCCGAGAAAGGAGAAGTTCTGGAACTTTAAGTCACTGTACAACATAATTTGGGAATAACCTGTTCTGAATCTGTTTAAATTCGCTTCAGTTTTAAAGCTAGTTAAAATGCTCTATGTTCACAGCTGATTTTTTTACTAATTTGTTTCCCAATAAGCAGGGATGCATAGAAGAGTGAGTTTAAAAATACACTGAACGATATTTTATGAATGAACGTCTGTGATATGGCATTAGCACTACCAGAATGCTACTTTAAGTAAAGCAAAATTCCAAACTCTAAAATTTCTACTTTCCTCCTTGAACAAATTTTGATGCACCCTGTGCTTATGCAAATTTCTGAAATGCTACATATTAAACCTGTTCCAGTCTTGGTGAGTATTAAACATTTTATTTAAAGATTTTAAAGTAAAAAAAGGGTACACAAATACAGATTACATTATGATGACCAAGGCAGTATTCTACATGACAAAAATCAAAACAGAACAAAATTTAAAAAGTAAATATACAGGTACCAAACAAGCATAATACCGGATATGCAATTCAGGCTGCATACACATAAAATGATCTGACCACAGACATGCTTATGCAAAATAAGTTTTTTTCTTAGAACACCAAAATTCCAACCATTCTGTCAACTGCCTTATTCCCGTTGAGTATTTTGAAAGAACTTCTATATAATATAAAAGGAATTGGCATGGCACTTAAAAACTACAAAAAACAGAACACAATTAAAAACATATTTGTAATGCAATTTTGTATAAAATATACATGGTAAATCTTGTTAAAAAAAATATTTAAAAACAAAAGACCACCCTGAATAATGGTTAAAACCTCATCACAGAAAAATGTTCATCATTTGTAACATTACTGATAGAAAATAGATGGGATTTTGGGGGGAGGGGAGATATCTAACTTGAAGAAGTCATTCAAAATTTATTTAAAATTGTAGATAAGATAGTAACTCACTGCCTACCCCTTTCTCAACACTTATCATGAATATTCTAATATATAACTACAGGACAAAATAAAAGAATAGCTCAAAGAAAGTGTTTCTCAAAATAAGGTCCAAAGACCCGAAAGAATTCTAAGGTGGGCCCAGCAATGTGCATTTTAAACAAATATCCCAGGTGATTGTTCCCCATTCTAAAATTTGAGAACTAATGCCCTAGGGAAACAGTACCACTTAAAAGCAAGATCATAAATATATTTCTGATATGTCCGAATTTTCTATGAGTTTATGGTTTGCAGTGAATTCTGTTTCTTTAAACAAGTTTCAGGTATTAAGAAAAACATATATACCTGTTACATAAACATGGGAATGTATATAAACGTTTTCCTTTGAGGTTTTCATTGCTTTCAGATTTAGTTATTTCAAGAAAAATGAGTATATGGCCAGAAACTTCAGAAAAATTACATTTCTAATAAAATGTAGCATCCAAAAGAGATAATTTATTAAATGCCTATAAATTTTAAATCATTCTAAATTTAAGACTAGATAGCTTTCCCCAAAATTCAATTTTACTAAGATTAGACAGTAACTTAGATGATTATGGTTACTTTTTACATCCCTTTATATTAAAAAAATATTCAAAATAAACAGATGCTATCATTGGCATCCCTTTAAATAATAAATTGCTAAACACTAATATTAATAAAAAATAATCTGAAGAACTCTGCCCCTGAAATGTATTCTACTTTTTACATGTGTTACCTACTTAATAAAAACTCACTTAAGGAGCTGGAACTGTGGGGTATGTATGTGCATGTCCTTAATATTTATTCATGTGTACCTTATTTTTAAAAATTTCACTGAAGACTCCATAAGCAGGGTCCAAAAGTATGGATAATGGGGCTTTGGTGAAGAAGTGAGTATGTTTAAGTGAGTATGGTTAAGACACTATTTGGAAGATAAATACTTTTTCTGTATACTAAATTATAAGGAAAAAATAGCATACGTTCTGTCTCCACTGGATAATGGAATGCTTTTACAAGTCTGATAATGACTGCTTCCTTATTATCTAAACCAAATCACAAAAAATAACTGTGGGATTTGCTAATAAGGAAATAAATCTCACAATCTTACTTTTCGGTATCTATTTTAAATTTCTATTTTTTTCCTTTCTATATACTGAAAAATGCTACATTCAAATGCATCCTGGGCTCTTTGAGTGACATTTATTAACATTCCAGTTAAAGTTCTGGCTAAAGGGGTAAGCTCAGAAGCTAATGCCCATATACTAAAGAAATCACTCTAATCAGTTTTTCAAAAACAGCTAATGATTTGGAATCTGATACTTAATACAATATGCCTGTTTTTTCCCTCAAGGAGAATTTGTATCCCTAATTCTAAGCAAGCAACGACATCTTTGATTACCAGTTTAATAACTGTTGCCTTAAAAATCAATAATTTAATTATCCAAGGCAATAAAATTTACAACTGAATTTTTAAACACAACTCAGAAAGTAATAGGTAATATAATAAATTGTTGTTTTTTGAATTATTCTTTTATATCAAAATTAAACACTTCAAGATGAAGTGAATGAAGAATGACAAAAAAATCACGGGAGGCTTACGACGTAATCCCACCAGGTGCCTTAATGCAACGGATATGCTGTTTAAAAGCAGTGTAAGTATTTCCTTTAAACAAAAGGACGACTTCATTACTCATCAGTAGGCTGCTGGATTACCAGTATAGTTAAGTGTTGACACGACTGTCTGGAAACTAGTTTCATTTTCTTTTTCATAGTTAGATGTAATAATTGACTCTTACAGCCAATAACAGAAGATATTGAGTGCTTTTTTGTAGGTGAAAAATATAAAATGGTTCATGGTATCCAGGCTGGTAACAAGTTTATTCATGCATTAAATGGCAACACAAGCAAAATGCATAGTTGGAAAATGAGGATCAGACACATTCTTCTGCAGACATCAAAAGAGGATTGATGTACTCAAAACCTTCGAATTCAGACTGATCAATCTTCCTCACGATGTCACTGTTGAGAGAAGAATAAATTAATTTTCATAATCTAGATTTCTTCAACTTTTTACTTAATTGGTAAAATAAAATGAAAAAAAAAAAAAAAGCAGGGGCGCCTGGGTGGCTCAGTTGGTTGGGCGTCTGCCTTCTGCTCGGGTCATGAGGTTCTGGGGTTTTGGGATTGAGTCCCGCGTTGGGCGCCCTACTCAGTGGGGAGCCTGCTTCTCCCTCTGCCCCTCCCCCCAGCTCGTGCTGTCAAATAAATAAAATCTTAGAAAAAAAAATAACAAAAAAACAAAAAAAATAAGGCTAATTTACATAGATTATGGGGGAAAAAAATCTCTTAAGTGTTTAGATTAGTTCCAAAACATTTTCTAGAAGAATCAAGAATACTGAAAATAAGACTAACAATCCCACAGGCAAGTTTGGAACTAAAAGGTGGTCCAAAATTGGAGGCTAGGAATAAAAAAGTCACAAACTGTCACAAGTCTAGTTAATTTTAACTTTTGACCTGAACATTCGTATTTATAGGTAAACATCCAGGTCTGAATTAGCATTCAATTTAGTCATCACCTCAACAGGAAGATGGTGACAAGGCCCAGGAGAAGTTAACTGAAAGGAAAAGGCAATAGGGACAGGTACACAGACCTGAAATAAGGAGCGGATACTGCAGGGAGGTAGTAGAGACGCTAGCATTCTGCTACACTAAGCTTCTACTTTAATATGCAATAAGAGTAGTACTATTGAATATTTTAATACTTAAATGCACACACCGTACTGCAGAGCACAAAGTTACACAGGATATAGTCCCCTCCTTTAAGGAGGGAAGGTATCTCGTATAATGAAAATCTACAAGAGAAAGCAGTACCTGCTAAATTTCATACAGGACAGCTAAGTCCTGATCTAACCACAGTTCTAAAAAAAAAAAAGGGGGGGGGGTGACTTCTAGTTAGAGAAATCGAGAATGCCAGCATTCATTGTATAAACACTTACCAAACGGAATTATGAAAGATGATGTTGGGTCTGCGAAAAATGCAAGTAATTTATTAGAGTTGAAAGCACAGGAACAGAAGCATGTCAAATGACAGATGATCTGGAAGGAAGGTAATGGCTAGCTCAAAGCAGCCGGTGCCGTTTACACGGAAGAGGTTCACCTTGATTCATCAAAGATGTGGCTGCATCTGAGGTAGCTCAGACAGATGAAGACTCCGTACGTAAAAATGAAGGGTGCTGACAGAGGAGCGGCATGAGCGAAGGTCAGAGCACTCTACCAGAGGACGCACAGTAACGGAGACTGGTCAGAGCACAGCATCTGTGCTAGAGCCAGCGAGAGACGACCGGGGGGTCAGGCAGGAGATGGTGGGAGGCCAGCACTGCTGGCCAAGGGGACAGATTTTATCTGCTAGGCAAGCAGGAGGTTCCTGGAGGCTTCCGACAAGGGAGTGCTACTGAGATGTGTGGAATGGGTGGCAAAGCAAAGAAGGTGCCCAATGAGGAGGATAGTGTAATATTCTGGGTATGATCTAAAAGAGATGTGAACTAGACTCATGGCAATGGGAATGGAAATGAAGGATCTGATGCGAGTAATGAAGTAAAGGGAAAAGAGACAAGGACTTGGCAGCTGAGTATGTTACAGTTTGTTAAGAAAAAGGAAGAGTCAATAATCACGGACATTTTGAATCTGAACGAATACGTGATAGCATAATGAGCAGAAAAGGGTAAATAAAAACAAGGAACTGATTGAGAATAACAGAAAAAGAGACCATAAAGAATCATTACTTTTCTTTTCTTTCTTTCTTTTTTAATCTCTATACGCAACATGGAGCTCGAAATCACGACCCGGAGATCAAGTCACAAGCTCCACTGGCTGACCCAGCTAGGAACCTCAAGAGTCATTACTAAAGGTATTTTAGATTTTGTATGTTTGAGGTGCTTATCTGGCGACCTAGGGGAGATGTTTACACAAGCAGACAGAAATGCAGCTCAGAAGAGATACTGGGTGGAGGCTAGGTGCTTCAGAATCGTCGTTCATTTATTCTTCACAGTGGCCTTGTGACGGAGGCAGTAAGAAAATAAACAGGCTCAGAAAAGTTAGGAAATTCAAACCCAGGGACACCTGGGTGGCTCAGTCGTTAAGCATCTGCCTTTGGCTCAGGTCATGATCCCAGGGTCTTGGGATCAAGTCCTGCATCGGGCTCCTTGCTCAGTGGGGAGCCTGCTTCTCCCTCTGCTTGTGCTCTCTCTCTCTCTGCGTCAAATAAATAAAATCTTAAAAAAAAAAAAAAAGAAAGAAAGAAATTCAAACCCAGGTTACCCGGTTGGTAAGAGGTGGTGTCAGGACTCAAATTCCTGTCCTTTGATCGAATCTGGTATTCTTTCTAATACATGACGCTGTCAGAAGTAATTATATTGGTACACCTCTCTCTCCTTTAGTAAATAGTAAGCTTTTTGTGAGACCCACCTACATGTTAATCGTCTTTGAATGTCTAGTACTTAGTACACTGCCTTTTGCTCAACTGTTTCCCAGTTTAGCTGGGCGTCATTTAAATAGCTGGTATCAATATTGTGGGGCTGGCTGAACTCTCCAAGGCACAAACTGCATATAGCAAAGAGAAGGCTGTCATGAACGCAACTGTGGAACATCCCAGTCTCACTGGGGACAGGGAAAAAGGGGTGACAAGTGGTCACACAGATGCAGCAAAACCAGGAGGGGTAGTGCCAACAAAGCAAGGCCGTGAGTGCCAAATGCCGTACAGACATCAGGGGAGATGAGGACTGCTCCGAATATGCTTTAAAAGTCAGAAATTAACCAGTCAATTCAACCTTCAGACGCTGAAGGAACAGGTTAAACTGTAAGGAGTTAAAGTGCCGGTAGTAAGAAAGCCCCAGTCAACGTTGACTATTCTCAAGGAGTCTGGGAGAGATACTGCTTATCTATTTCTCTTTTACCATGAGATTCTATTAACTATTTTGAAAAAATGAAGGAAGAAAATGTGATGGTTCAAAGATGTGCTAAGATTCAGGGGAAAAACTAGGATTTCTGGGCATGTTGATAAGTAGCAGAAATGCAGCAGGGAAAGAGAAATTAAAGGAGGTAGAGGAATGGACGTTAACTAACAAAATGAGATCCTGGCAGAAGCTAAGGAAACAGGTTAGGGCCACGGGGCACCCCCTGCAAGCGAGGGACACCCAAGCGCAGGGAAGAAGGAAGAGGAGGTAAGAGAGCAATTGTGAGCCTCGAGGTGGTCTGGTGAGATCTGAAAAGGGAGCAAGCTCCCACCGGAGGGGGACGGGGTCCCCATCCTTGCAGTCAAGGTTAAGGCAAGGCTGATCCACTAACAGTGGGGGTCGTGGGGGTAGGACTGAAGGCTTCTGAAATTTCGAGACAGTCTGGAACAGTTGGCACGAAGAATGTGGTAGGAATTAACAAGATGTGAGTAAAAATACTGCCGAGGAGGAAGGGCCTCCTCGAGATCAGAGAACGAATCTGTAATGACAGGTAAATGATCAAATGTCCCCAAATTATTCTAAACCCTACTTTTAAAAGATTCAACATAAACATAAAAAATATGTCAGCTCACTGCTGGCTGGACTTGGTAGGGTAATGTAATCTTTTTAAAAGCAGTCGGGCAATACATATCAAGAGCTTGAAACATTTGATCCCCTTGGACTAACACCCTTTCGAGGAATCTATCTCAAGGTAACACGCAGGGACTCTGACAAAGATGGCGGCCTGCACAACAGGGCAGTCCAGGGCAGCGCAAGTGCGTGGACTTGGGCAGACTGGGGTTTGCGTCCTGACGCCGCTGCCTGGCAGCCACCTGGCAACTCTAAAACTCTGCTTCCCCTCTCCGAGCCTCAGTTTCCTTGCCTGTAAGACGAAGAGGACAATAAGTAGATTCACAAGGTTGTCGTGAGAATTCGAGATAAGGCACGGAAGGGAAAGTAGAAGAGGGCAGTTGTTATAATTTATAAGAGTCTCATAGATTCAAATAATCCCGTAACTGAATGGCTAAGTAAAGTATATTATAATCTCATAATGAAGCACTGTGTAGCCACTAACAATGAAACTTTCAAAGAACTTTAGAAATATTTCAGTCTATAGAATTACTTACTCATCATCTGGAGTGAGCTGGACAGGTTCATTAGTAAACTGAGAATCAAAGTTGTCCAAACCAAATTCCCCAGAAATATTTGGTTTAAAGGGAGGTACCACCTGCTTTTGCTCCATCTAGGAAAGACATATTAGATGACAGCTCAAGCCTACGTTCTCAGAAAAATTCCACCTCTACATTTCTCCTCTGCCCTCAGATGCCTCCTCGGTCTATCCCCGTGAGTTCTCAGCCATGGCTCTACAGTATTCACAAGGATGGAAGTCATTTACAAAACTGAACACTGACGCAGGCCTTACTAATATTACAACCTGCTCCATTAAATTAATATTCTAAGCTTTTACTGTTTTAAAAGCTTTTTAAAAAAGCACTTTAGAGAGTGGTTTTAAGTTATTACTAAAGCTGTGATATATTTGTTTTTCAACATTCTTTTAAGATAATAAAATTTGGCCCAAGATAATAATGAAACCTAACATAGAAAACAATGAAAATTTACATACCATATCCCAATCAACATTTCGAAAGAATGGGTGTCCCTGAATATCAGCAAATCCTGTTTGAGGATGACAACCCAATCGTTCCTTTGGGTCCTACGGTGGGAAGAAATGTTTCAAGAAGTAGGTGGATATCATGTTTTAGAATAAGTCATCTTTGTGACCTGGGTTTCGTGTCTATTACATGATACCTTATATCTGAAATCAGAATGGTCTACCTTTCATTTCTACATAGTACAACACTAGACTTAAATGAGTATCTGAAGCTTGTGACAAGATTTCCTCATGGCTCTCTCTAGCTATCATGTGATTATAGTGGACATAGGTCACTACTCCTTGCTAAAGAAAATGGGAGGAAAAGCAGCAGAATCTGGGCGCCTGGGTGGCTCAGATGGTTAAGCGTCTGCCTTCGGCTCAGGTCATGATCTCAGGGTCCTGGGATCGAGTCCCTCATCAGGCTCCCTGCTCCTTGGGAGCCTACTTCTCCCTTTGCCTTTCTCTCTCACTCTGTCTCTCATGAATAGAAAAAAAAAAATCTTAAAAAAAAAAAAAGCAGCAGAATCATTTGAGCAGCACCCTGATATTTCTTTGGCAGAGATTAGAGTGCTGGTCAAAATATACAAACCCCAAACTTTACAAGTTTGTTCTTGGCTCATTTTAAAAGCCCAATGCCCAATTACAGCAACAAACCATAATCTGTATACAACAGTGATACAACCATTATGTGAACCATTGGACTGAGAAGGGGCTGCAACTTATAAAAAGTCATAGCTTATTCATTACTGTGAATGAGAACATGTTACTATTTTCCTTTCCAATAAAAGATATTTAATATTAAAACCTCTCACCTTCATTTCTCAGTGTGTTAATACTTAGATTTCCATTTTAAATCTTTCTTCATATAAAGTACTCAAAAGCTTCAACTTATTCTATTAAAATTCATCATTATCTTATCTATATGTACCTTAGAAGGTAAATGCACACCAACCTACTGTCTAACCTACAATTTATTTAAAGTAAGATTTATGACTGCCAAGATCACTGTGATACTATAAGAAGCATATCTGGGGTCTGTCCCAGGTTCCCGACACAGAGCTCCTAAAACCCTTATAATTTCCTGAGTCACAGACGTGTCGTTATTCATAACGAGTCCCTTTTGATTATACCTTAGTTTATGCTAGTAAGGTGACTCTTGGTGGGCCTGCAATAGCTTCAGGATGGGATCTGGTTGCCAGAAGAACCAACCATGTGATTAGAGTTGTAACTTTCATTTTCAGAAGGGCTGGAAATTGAGTTCAATCACCAATGGTCAGTGACTTAATCAATCATGCCAATGTCATGGAACCTCCACAAAACCCTCTGAACCCTGGGGTTTGGAGAGCTTCTCGGTTGGTGAACACATCCATGTGCTGTGAGGGTGGTGTACCCCAACTCCACAGGGACAGAAGCTCCCGTGCTCAGGATCCCTCTGGACCTCACCCTGGGTATCTTTCCATCTGGTTGTACATTTGTATCCTTTATAACAAACCAGTGATAGTAAGTAAACTATCTCCCTGAGTTCTGTAAGCCGTTCCAGCAAATTACTGAACCTGAAGTGGGAGGGCTGTGGGAACCCCCAATTTTGTAACCAAGTCACACAGAAGTGTGGGTACTCGGTACTTGTGACTGGCATCTGAAGTGAAGACAGTCTTGTGGGACTGAGCCCTTAAACCCCTGGAATCTGATGGTAACTCTGGGTAGTTAGTGTCAGAAAAAAAAATGAATTGTGTAGGACCCCCACTATGTCTGGAGAGTTGGGAGAATTGGTTGTTGGTGTGGAAAAAACCTACACATCTGGTGTTAGAAGTGTTGTGAGTAAAAACTGTTCAGAATCATAATCTTAGGTCCTAAAACTCTTCTAACCTACTGACCACAACAAATAACTGAATGGTCTTCAGATTTTTTAAGACCAATGACAGCATTTCATTTCTTCTGAATTTTATCTAGGGCTTTTGACATGATAATCTACGGGAAACACTACTGCCAAGTGCTCAGTAAGTAATGAGATTCTATGACTAATAACCCAGAGAAAACTGAATAATAGAGCTATAAGTACGATTGCGGCTATCCCCAAAGATTGTAATTTTTCTCTAATTGTGTACATGATATATATCATTTACATTAAAAACACCATACGTAGTATATAGCTGGGGGTGAATTACATTGCCGAAATGGAAAGGACAACTCATCTCAGGATCTAATGCTGTCAAATTACCCTCTGGTGAAGAGCCAAATTCTAGATCTAACTGAAAAAATTATATACTCTGATGTTCTGGAATGTTACACTGCCTGAACCTCTAGTTATAGTTTCATTTATTATATACAGATAAACCACTAAAGATTGTTATACACAATTTATACCTTGTTGAGAAAACTCTTCAGGACACTTGCAGCTTTTACAGACAGAGAACGTGGTATGCGTATTTGTTTTTCCAAAATAACTAGAAAGATAAAATTATGGCATTATATTTAACTTTTACATGGCTTCGATCTTTACATTTTTATTATGAGGTGCATAAGGCATTCTAGCAGAAAAAATAAGACATTACATATATCACTTCAGCGTCTGCTTGTTTTTATCCAGTACGATTCTTTGTATTTCTAATCGTGGGCCCTTTTTTTTTTTCACCTTTTGATCCTCTTATATTCTTGGTACCCTACTTTTTCTCCATATTGTTCTTGGACTTATGCACTCACAGGGTCCATGTGAAAAGACTGTCCTCTCTAGCCACAGGATTCCTTCCTCCAATCTCTGTGGTATAAAATCTGAATGAACCTCTTTGTTATATTTTTGAGTATGAGAAAATAGTTGGCAAATGGACTGAAAGTACAGAGGTAGGAAGATATATTTTTTTTAATTAAGACTCACATATTAAGAAGTACACTGTCCAAATTATTTTCCTTTTTCTTACCCAAAGTAAAAACGTGAGCCATCCTCATTCATGCTCTAGAATAGGTTATTCACAGAGAATCTCTGTAAAATACTGTAAATTACCTTGGAAGAGATAATCCTCTGTGTTTTGATCAGGGTTATCAGAGCTTCCAACAATATCAAATGGAGATCTTCCTGCCATCATCTCAAACATTAATACTCCAAGGGCCCACCAGTCGACACTGAAACCTTCAAAAAAGAAATTTTTGAAGCAACAAATTATCTATTCTGCATTCTTGAAAGTCAGTAACTTGAGATTCATTTTATTATATAATGAAAAAATAAACATAATGAAAACCTAAACTCTAAATGCATTATAACTATCATGGTAGGCACCGAAGATTACAGGAATAATTCACTTATCAACAAGGGGAGGTAACTAAAAGATAACTTGAAAAATAAAATATTGGAGGGACACCCAAGAGTCAGTTAAGCACCTGACTCTTGGTTTCAACTCAGGTCGTGATCTCAGGGAATGGGTTTGATCCCTGCATCGGGTTCCGGGCTCAGTGCAGTCTGCTTGGGATTCTTTCCCTCTTCCTCTCCCTCCCCCTCTGCCTCTCCCCCTACCTGCATAGGCTATCTCTCTCTCACTCTCCCTAAAATAAGTGAATAAAATCTTTAAAAATAAATTAAAAAAATAAAATATTGGAAATGAAACATAAATTTCTTTTCCCAAATATGCCTGCAATTTCAGACTCATGATCTGTTTCTAACATGTTGTTTTTGAGGATATAATTAAATTGTACTTGAGAATAACTTTCATTGGTCTGAAACCTGATCTTCTGCTAGCTGCTTAAAGATCCTTGAAGGACCTTGGAATGAGATTATGAACAGCTGTCAGAAGTACCCATCCTCCTTTACATCTGCTGAAATCAGAGGGCCAGAACCCAAGAAGTCAAATGTGTTCTTAAGATAAATATATCCTCTGATTCCTGACAAGCAGTCACCCTCTTATCTATAACACCCTCACAATCTTTCCCTCATTTTTCAGATTCCTGGAGGAAACATCCCAGGAAATATGAACAATCTTCTAAGGGTTCATGACTCTGGAGTCACATGGCTAAAATATAAATCCCTACTCTGCCACTTTCTAGCTGTATGAACTCGGGCAAGTTATTTAAACTTTCTGTAAAATGGGAATTAACAGTGCTTACCTCCTAGGATTATTGAGAGGCTTAATTAATATGTGTAAACTGCTTATATTAGTGCCTAGTACTTTTAGTGTTGCCATTAATAAGATATTATTCAAATCTGTACCCCCAAATACTGCTAAGATCCTACTGTCTCCAATTTCATACTAGGGTTTTCATGTAGGTTTTAAGGGGATCAAGAAAGTTTATATTAATAAGATTAGTATTTAAATACTACAGTATAATATAATGCAATTGGTACCACATTTAACCACTCATCTAGCACATAGCTAAAATGCCACCTATTTATTTATTACCATAATCTTCTCCTCTTAAAATTTCAGGAGCAATGTAATTGGGAGTACCACAAAAAGTGCTGGTTGTATCTCCTGGCCGTAATCCTTCCTTTTATAAAAAAAAAGAAAAGAAAAAAAAGATATAATAAGATAGAAAATTATCTTCTAAATTCATCTCTTTTATTTCATCTATTATATAAGCTCAGCATCTATAGGTAATATATTAAGCTTAAATAAAATACCACTAGCAGTTTTCCATATTATTAAAATCACAGGTTGCCACTAAATAGCTTAAAGAAAACCTGTCCTCATTAGATGTTGGCAGAGTTCAGTTAAGATAAAAATTGCACTTGAAATAATTTATAATCAAGTAAAAATTTAATACAAAAATTTAACTTGTATGAGTAAAAGGAATCAACATATTTTATGAAGAAAAGAAGCACTGTATATCCCATCTCCTAACACAAGCACTGCTGCCATAATGATGTTTTCCTTCTGGTTGTTTTTCCTAAGGCATACATTTTTTTGTTTTGTATTTCAATTGAAAAAATTAAGGCAAAACATACTAATGTGTATAAATAGAGAAACTACACAATGACAATGGAAAAATCACCAAAAAGTTATAAGAAACTTGCATGCACCTAACAACACAGTCTCAAAACACAAAGAGTAAAAATAGATAAATTAGGAGAATTTCACAATCCCTGCTATGGAATGAACGTTTGTATGCCCCCAAAATTCATATGCTGAAGCCCTAATGTGATAGCACTGGGAGATGGGGCCTTTGGGAAGTAATTAGGTCATTAGGTTGGAGCCTAATCCTGATGGAATTAGTTGTCTTTATAAGAAGAAGAGAGCTCCCTCTCTCTCTTTCTGCCATGTGAGGATACAACAAGAAGACACATCTGCAAACCATGAAGAGTGCCTTCACCAGACACTAGTTCTGCTAGTACCTTGATCTTGGACTTCCCAGCCTCCAGAAGTGTGAGAAATAAATGTTTGGTGCTTAAGTCACCTAGTCTACAGTATATTGATACAGCAGCCTGAAGTGATAATACAATCCCCAATCATGACAAGTGATTTTAACACATCTGTATCAGAAAATGATATATCATACAGACAAAAAAATTTAGTAAGCAGAAAAAGATTTAGACAAAAGCTAGAGCTAAATATAATATATATACTTAGAGAATATGTATAATCTATGTGCATGTGAGGAGAAAGGGAGGAGGGAAAGAAAGAGAGTGAAGGACAGAGAGACTCCTTGCATGGAAACAAGAGATTATATATCTTTTTTTAAGTACATGTGGGATACTGATCAAATGCTAAGTCACAAAGGAAACCTCAATATATTTTCAAAGAAACCTGTATCATTCATACCATTTGCTGGCCACAAGGCAATTAAATAAGAAATCAACAATAAAAAGATAGTTTAAAAACAAGACAAATAATATTAAATATACAATTAAACAAGCAAGAGAAAGACAATTCATTTTCATGAGTTTCATTGTTTAAGTAATGCATGCCCATTATAGTAACTTAAAAAATATGTAAAAGTAAACAAAATAAATGTGTAATGCTACATAACAGAACAACACATAAAGAATTAGACAATGCTCTACTTTAGAACTTTATTTAATGTGATATTATAAACATTTTACATTGTTATGAACTTTTGGTAAACATCTTAATGACTTCATAATGCTCTGTACTGTAGTCATGCCATAATTTCCCTAATCATTCTCCTTACCAGTGGCCATGTAGATTATATATAATATTTATCACAAACTATAATAAAAAACTTTGGTCATAAACTTTTCCTCATAGACCAAAATATTCACTCAGAATATCCCAGAGGCAGAAGTACTAGATAAAAAAGTATGGCTGTACATCTTTAAGATTTCTGATACATCACCACCAACTACTTTCCAAAAGATTGTAACAATGCATACATTCACCATTGATACAGGAGAATACCCATTTCTTTAAACTCTTGTAAGTAGACTATTATAATTTTAAAAACCAGTATCTGACATGCAAAAATGAAGTCTCATTATTGTTTTAATGTGTATACTTTGTAGCAAGGTTAGCATTCTTCATGTTTTTTTGTTGTGGTTCAGCTTTATTTTCCTTTGACAAATTATAAGACTTTTATATTATTGTCATTTTTCTTTTGAAATAAGAAAAAAATCCACTGGGGGAAAAAGGTGACAGAGAGGGGCGCCTGGATGGCTCAGCTGGTTAAGCGACTGCCTTTGGCTCATGTCATGATCCTGGAGTCCTAGGAGTGAGTCCTGCATCAGGCTCCCTGCTCAGCAGGGAGTCTGCTTCTCCCTCTGACCCTCCCCCCTTTCATGCTCACTCTCTCTCATTCTTTCTCAAATAAATAAATAAATAAAATCTTAAAAAAAAAAAAAAGATAAATGACTGAGTTTTGTACCTAAAAGCAAAAACACTTTAGGTAAAGATTTTCTTTTCTAATGTTGCTGAACAGATAATAAGGTCAAATCTTCAATACTATTAGAGTGTCTTAATGTTAACATTTAAATAATCTCCAACCTCTGGAGGCATTTCCCTCAGGTGAATGGGGGAGTGTAATTCATACATTTACATGCTTGTTGCCATATATATATATATATTTTTTTTAAGATTTTATTTATTTGCGAGAGAGAGAATGAGAGAGAGAGAGCATGAGAGGGAGGAGGGCCAGAGGGAGAAGCAGACTCTGAGCCGAGCAGGGAGCCCGATGTGGACTCCAGGATCATGACCTGAGCTGAAGGCAGTCGCTTAACCAACTGAGCCACCCAGGCGCCCCTGCTTGTTGCCATATTACTGTGTGAGGATAATTCTGCCCCAGCTACTTCTAACAAGGAGAGTAGCTCCCTACACATTTTGTGCAAAAACACTCGACCCTTAAATGAAACACTGTTACAAAAAGAATAAAGTACCAAGAAATAAAGGATATTGTCCTGACAGTAACTGAAATTCTTATTTTGTTCTACTGTACCTTATGTCAGATATTTAAACCTTAAATATAAAAAATGATAGACTTCCTGGGAAAATCTTGAATGCATTATCAAGAGTTACAATTAAATGTCAAAGACTGGAAGGTGACATGCAAGTAGTTATGCTAAAGTCATGGGATTGCAGACAATTTTTATTTCCAAATTTTCTTCTATAGTATCACAACATTCAAGATAAAAAGTTACAGACAATAAAAAGAAATTATTATAGTACATATAACACTCACAGAAAATACGGAATTTTGTAAATGGTTAGAAAGTATGTATGTTTGTCCTTGTGCTAAAATCCCAAAAAGTATCCCAAAGTAGCAGTCATTTCCTCAACTTTAAATACTGTTATTTTACCAAAACAATTTTATGAGCTGCTGAGATCTTCTGATTAACTAGAAATTTCCCTCACCTTACACATGCCATAGTCAGTGAGTTTAATGTGTCCTTCTGAGTCCAGCAATACATTGTCCAATTTCAAATCTCTATAAATTATCCCTCGTTCATGAAGATAATTTAATGCCAGACTGATTTCTGCAGAGTAAAATCTAAAATGAAAAATAACTTATTTGATTCAAATTTTTAAATTGTGGTAAGTTTCTAGAAGTCCTACCCCCACCTGCAGATGAAAACACCAAAATCATGTCAAAAGATTTTTTTTCTCCCAATGTTTTTAGAAACAATACCAAAACACAAATTGAAGTACCACTTTAAAACATCTAAGCCCAGAAGACAATTATAAAAGTTCCAGTCTACATGAAACTCGTACTTGTCATAAAATTATTAATTTGCAAGTCTTGAACAGAAGTTCTTAATCTGGGTCCTTGGCCAGACCTCTGCTGCTACAACCAGAGGCACGGTGGTATGTACATGAGTACTTATACCGCTTCTATAGGGTTTCCACAGCTTTCATCACTTCTCTAAGAGACCAATGCTCTCCCCAAATGCTAAGAGTCACTGATTGGTCTAGAATAGAAAAAATACTAAAAGTTCTACTCAAACTATAAAATCCATACCAAAATTCTAGAGAGGGAATTAAATTATTCTACAACCATACCATTTAATATTAAAGAGCTTTTTAGAACTGCCACTAACTAACTCATTGGTGATAATGAGAACTTTTGACCTGAATAATGAAAACGAAACACCCAAGTTGGTTTATGGCTACTTTGGTGAATGTTACCATGATCATGGTTCGAGGTGCTTAACACATACCTTCTCAGCTACTTAATTCTATGCATAGAGAACCTAAGCCTTTATTTTGCACTTTGGTTCCCAGAAAAGTAAAGATGAAATAAAACCAGAACTGGCACTTGAATACAGTAGAAACTACTCTCCCCAAGTCCCACTGAACAAACAAGGAACAAATACAGGCTATGGTCACAATTAGAAATATCATTTGTGGCTCTGCTATAAAGGGTGATCATTTAATAAAGACTAAATACAGGAAATTAACAAAACAAAACACAGTTTCGTCCAAGATTAGATTAGTACAATTTCTACCTTATAAAATTGAAGGATATTATCTCTTTTTGACAAGAAATAATCAACGTCCTTGCAAGATTTCCATGAAACAAGTATTTATAAAAATAATATCTTTAACCTTTATTACATGCATATACAAACTCATATGCTTCATTTTGGCATTACTTTTATGGAACACAAAAGGGTGAGGATTATTCCTAATTCTGAGTAAAAACAAAGCAATACATGGCACAGATGAATTAAACTTATCCAAGGCCATGATCCTTCCCCACCTAACTCCTCCAACATATAAGCAATTTACAGTCTTATATAATAATATCAAATTAAAGACACAAAATAAATAAGTAAATAATATTTAATGATCTTTTCTCTTTTTTATCGACAGGCATGAGATGAGAGAAAAAACAAGTCAAAGGCAGAAAAATTCAGAAATTATAATTACAGGAAGAATAGTCAGAATTACATAATAGCTTAAAAGGAATTGTTCTATTACTCTAGTATATATGAATAAGAATCAATGAAAAACTGTCAGAGATCACTGCAAACCCTAGATGAATAAGTGTAAATTCATCAATTATTTCAGTTGTGGACGTTGAATAGACAAAGTATTTTTAAATAACTGGGTTTAGTAAACTAAAGGTTCTCCCTTTAACACTGTTTATACTTTTCAACTGCTTATATTAATATATATTATAATGTAAACTAACTTTTAGCTTAGCCCCTACATGACTTACAAAAAACTAGCATCAAAATAAATAATTTATCTAATCTTTTCAACCAGTGGCACATAAAAAGTCCCATAGCATTCCCTACCCCCAACCCTCCCCCCACCCAGCCCCACCTCCAGCAAAAATCTAACACAAACAGTACATATTTACCTGGCATGTTCTTCAGGAAGTTTTCTTTGTCGCTGCATATGAAACATTAGATCTCCTCCATTTACATACTCTATGACAAAGAACAATCTAAAACACAGGAGAGATAAGAAACAAAACAAATGAATGTGGGGTGGGGGGAAGAGGCAAACCAAGGAACAGACTCTTAACTCTAGAGAACAAAGTGATGGTTACTAGAGGGGAGGTGGGCAGGGGCAGAGGTGGTAGGGATTAAGGAGGGTACTTGCAAGGAGCACCAGGTGTTGTATGAAAGTGTTGATACACTATATTATAGACCTGAAACTAATATCACACTGTATGTTAACTAACTGGAATTTAAATAAAAACTTAGAGGAAAAAAGTATTTTTTAATTAAGAAAAAAAAAAGAAAAGAAAATCAGCAAGGCTTAAATCCAGGAACTTTATATGTCAGGCTTAAAAAAAATAAATAAATACAGGAGAGAGCACATGAAACCAAGATCCAAAATAAGGCACTGTCACTTTGCATTTTAAATACTACAGAGACCAGTTACAACATAGAGAGCATTCTATAGATTTACCCTTAACAAACATTCCAGGAATTTGGTGGAAACAAAGGGTAGTTGGAGTCGAAAGCTGTTTAATCACAGAAGATACAAGAAAATAAACCAGCATAATTGTGTAAACTGTGTCTTCTATTTGAAAGTAGTACCACTAGCAATCCAGAGCCTCTCACTCTCACCCCAATTTTAGCATTTGCAAGATAAGTCATTTTCAACTGTCACTTAAGGTAAAGAAGTTAGGATTTCTCCCTCTAGTTAAACTTTAGGAAACTTTAAGTACTAAAACTAGAATCTTGGAGATATTTATGACTTGATTTTTTTTTTTTTTTTTTTTTTTTGCCTAAAGTGGGTAATTTCCTAATGCCACTCCAATGTTAAAATGATATCACTGATTGGAGTCTGAGTAGTAGGAAATTTTAAGCATAGTACTGTTGTGTCCATCTCCACGTCTTCCACTTCAGGCTTACAATAGAAAGCAACTGTCATTGTCTAATATACCAAAATGTGTAAAGCCCAGTAATTATTCCATTATCTTTCAATCTTACCTGCTTTCTGTCTGAAAGCAAGAATGCAGCCCAACAAGAAAAGGATGATTGGATGCCTGTTCAAAAACATGCTTCTCCGTCTGTACCCAATCAATATCCTATTTCAAAATATGGAAGAAATCTATGTCAAACTGAATTATCATCAAAACTATGATAAATTTGTTCTTAGTAATTCATTTACCACATACGCAATTACTAACTAGGCTAAATACCAAAAGCACTGATAATCATGAAACAAGAGCTTATATACAAATAGAGAAACACCACCAATAAATCTTTCAGTATTATGAAACAGTCTAAAAAACTTTTACAAAGCTCCTGTACTTTCCCTTGATAATAATATGGTTTGATTTTTATTTTTTAAAAATCTAGTAATCATCACATTACATTAAATCTATCTTATGTAATCTGTTTGAAGCATATATTTAGAATAGACTGAAATTATAAGACACAAACATTGAGGTTTTCTCTGAAATAGTACACCTAAGCCAATTTAACAGTTCAGAAATAATAAATCATTGTGCTTACCTCATCATCGTTGACCAGCTCTTTTTTCACAACTTTCATTGCATAAATACGATCTGTTTTTTTCAATCGCACCAATAGTACTTTGGCATAACTTCCTCTACCTATTACCCGAAGCAAATCAAAGTCCTGAAGACCTAAACTGGATGAAGCTTTGCCACTTTCCCTGGTATTCATTGCCTGTTGAGAACATTTACATCAAAGAGTTATACCTAGAGGAATTTTGCATAATACATTATATTTCTAAGCCCTGGTTATACCTAAGATGATTTTAAAATATCTTCTGATTTAAGTTCTTAATAGTTCTTTTCTTACATCATACGATATAATCTAACTACGCAACAGGTAGGATGAATTCATGAGTTGAGGTCAGAGGGATAATGATAGGAAGTTGACATCTGAGAAGTGTTAAAGGGTATCTTAAGATCTGACAAATTTTGGGTCTGGAGGCAATGAAGATACATGAATTTAAAAAATGACACTAACTTTGATGACCGGGAGATTGGAGGTACTACTGACAGAAAAACAAAGTGTGCACACAGGATAAGATTGACAGAGCTGTTGAGATAATAGGCTTGCTTTTTCATCCTGAAGATACAAGCTACAATGGGATATCAAGATTAAAGAGTCTACTGGAAGCTTGATATATGACATCTGAACTAATGGGAGGACACATTCAGAGACATTTTTAGAAGCTATAGACAGAAAACAAGCATGAGGCAGCTTAACTAATGGAAAACATTTTTTTCTACATAGTACCCAGGCTCCTTTGGAATGAGAAAATTAGCCTTTTAATTCATTTACAACTAAAAACTTAGGCTTCTGGTAATTTATAGAGAAGACCGAAGATAATCTTTTTAAACATATCTGCAAAATCCTCCACATACAATCAACAGATGTACCCATAAGAATTAAGTATGAATTTTCTCAAGTGAAGAGTATCAAGAAGAGCAAAGAGCAAATTTTAAGAAAAACGAGTAAGCACAAATCGGAAAAAAAAAATTATGAAAACTGAAGGAGAATGATTTTTCAAGAGAAGGGTCATTTACAAAAATCTAGAAACAAAAATCCGATGTGGTAACAAGGATAAATAAAGAGGAGTGAAAGAAATCAGATTAGAGCAGATTAAGAAAGCACAGAATGGTAAGAAGATAAGGCAATATACAGACTTTAAATATGGTTAACTGGGAACTATAAAAGAGAATGACATGACTGAGTTCTGTTCTGCTAGCATTCACTCCCTCTGGATCTTACTGCTTACTTGCTCTGATGAAATAAAGCAAGCTACTTTGTTGTAAGCTGCCTTACAGAGAGGCCCACCTGGCAAGGAACAGAATCCTGCCAACAATTAGGTAAGTGTGGAAGCAGCTTCTTCCCCAGTCAAGCTTTGAGATAAAAGCAGTCCTTGCCAGCACCTGTATGTGATTCTGGGGCAAAGGACCCAGATAAGTCATGCTTAGATTCCTGACCCATAGAAGCTATGACATTATAAATCTTGTTGTTTTAAGTCACTAAATTTTGAGATTATTTGTTACATAGCAATTATCTAACATAAGGACTTTAAGGCAAAAAGCATTACTATAAACAGAAAGGGATATTTCATGATGAAAAGGTGTTAATCCAACAGAAGATAATATGATTCTAAATTTGTATGTATTTAATAACATGGCCTCAAATATATAAAGCAAAAGCTAACAAAACAAACAAGGAACAGACAAAGCTATAATGTAACCTTGTGGTTGAGAAAGAGCAAGCAGTCAGTGAGGTCACAGAGATGGAATAACATTGTTAATAATCTTGACCTAACTGACCTGTACAGAACACCACACCCAATAACTATAAAACATACTGTATTTGAAAATACGTATGGAACATATACCAATGCCTATGTGCTTGGCCTTCAAGCAAGTTTCAACAAAATTTAAAGGACAGAAATCACACCCAATGCATTTTCTGATTTGTAGAGGAATTAAGTTAGAAGTTAAAAAATTTTCCAAATATGTAAAAATCAGTATACTTTAAAGTTATGCTCTGATCAAAGAAGAAATCATAATAGAGATTAAGATATACTTTACAGTGAATGACAAAAAAGCATAAGGAGATAATCAGAGGAGAAATCAATGCACTAGAATAGTAAATAAGCATTCAATAGAGAAGAACCAAAAGTTAGTTCTCTGAAAAGACTAATAAATGGATATCCCCCTGCCAAGAATGATGAAGAAAAAGGGAATGCACAATAAATTTTATCAGGAATAAAAAAGGATGTCATTTCATATTCTCAGAAATGGACAACTTTATGTCAATAAAAACCTGAAAATTTAGGTTAAACAAATTCCTAAGAATAACATAAACGCAAGACAAAATAGAGATATCTAAACTGTCCCAGATCTATTCAGACATAAATTACAGAATTAAAATCCTTCCCAAAAAGAAAACTCCAAGCCCAGAGTGCTTTTCTGATGAACTTTTTAAAAAATATAAATAATGCAGGGCGCCTGGGTGGTTCAGTCAGTTAAGCGTCTGCCTTTGGATCAGGTCATGATCCCAGAGTCCTGGGATCGAGTTCCGCATTGGACTCCCTGCTCCGTGGGGAGCCTGCTTCTCCCTCTGCCTCTCCTACTCCCCCTGCTTGTACCCTCTCTCTGTCAAATAAATAAATAAAATCTTAAAAAAAAAAAAGAAGAAGAACGAATGCAATCTTATAGGAATTCTTTTCAGGAATACAAAAAATTCCAAAATCGTTTTATGACACCAAAACTAGGCAATCCAATTTAAAACAGGGAAATTACAGGTCAATGACTCACATTAATTTTTAAAAGAAAATAAAAAACAAAACCTAAATATTGGCAAATCAGATCCACCAGTATATAAAAGAATTATATATCATGACACACATGGAGTTTATTCCAGAAATGAAAAATAGGCTCAACAATTGAAAATTAATGAAATTTACATATGATCAACTCCAGAAATGTCATAAAATGTTTTTGATAAAATCTTGTCTTGTCATGATAAAGACACAAGTCTTAGCAAACTAGAAACAAACTCCCTCATTTTGATAAGGGGTATCTATAAAATAAAAATCTGTTGCAAACATCAAACTTATTGATGAAATACTAGATTTCCTCTGATATATATAACAAGACAATGATATCTGATGACTACTTGTCAACATCATTTTGGTCATCTGTAGAGGTCCTTGCTGATTCAATAAGGCAAGAAAACTACAAGTCTATAAGATTTGAAAAGGAAGGAATGATACTGTTATTCACTGATAAGATGATTATATATGTAGAAAATCTAAAGTTATCTATAGATAAGCTATCAGAATTAATAGGTAGCAAGGTGTCGGGAAAAAAGGCAATTTAGGAAAAAAACCTTATTTCTATATAACAGTATTAAATAGACAATTATATTTTAAAATAATACCATTTACATCCAATACCTATAGTTCAAAGACTTTGAACACTATAAAACATTGCCAGAATTTAAGGAAGACCTAAATAAGTGAAGGAATATATCATGCTCATGGTTGAAGATTTCATATTGTAAAGATGTCACTTTTTCTGAAATGTATCGATAGGTTTGGTTTATTTGCTTGATTTTGTGGAAACCAGCAAACTGATTCTAAAATTTACATGGAAATTCAAAAAGCCAGAAAGAGTAGCCAAGATAAGCCCCAGAACAGCAAAGTAGAAGAATTTTACTAGGTAGACTTATTATAAAGCTATAGTAATCATGAAGCATGATATCCGCTAATAATAAAATAAAAAATAAAAGAATCTAGAATTATATCATGCAATGAGCATATAATTGATGAAGAGATAGCTTTGCAGAGTAATGGGGAAAGGTACAGCCTTTTCAATATCTTCAATAACCTTGGGAAAAACAGAGTTCTTAAGGCCCAAAAGCACTACCAAAAAGGAAAAGATGAATGTATTTCACTACATTAAAAATCAAGTACATCTATTCATCAAAAGATACCATTAACAAGGTGAAAATACTAGCCATAGAGTGGGAGAATATATTTGCAAATATAACTGATAAAAGGCTAATAATGTCAAGAAATACAAAGAAGTCCTTTAAATCAACACAACAAAGACCACTCATTTAAAAAAAAGACACCTAACTAAAAATGATACCCAATGGTCAATAAATATATGAAAAGTTGTGCAGCAAGGAAATGCACATTAAAAAACTATAATGACTACCACTACACATTCAACAGATTCACTAAAATTAAAAAGATAGACCATACAAAATGCTGACAGATTTGTGGAGCCAATCGAACACACATTATTGGTGAAAGTATAAATTGATACAAGCTCTTTGGAAAACTGTTTGGTATTATCTACTAAAGTTCAGTTACTCTTGACTCAGGAATTCCACTAATTATATACCTAACAGAAATGTTTATGTATGTGTGCCAAACTCCACTTACAAGAATGTTCATAACAGCATATCATAATAATCCCAATCGGGGGGGGAGGGGGATCAATAGTAAAATACATAAATTGAAACAACAGTGAAAATAAATGAAATACAACTACATGAAACATGACTGAATCTCACAAACACAATATTGAGCAAAAGAAACCAGACACACACACAAACTACATACTGTATGAATCCATTCATATGAAGTTTGGGGGAAAAGCAAAATTAATCTCTGGTGTAAAGACCATAGTGAGAAGGGGGTGTTAGTGACTGGGAGAAGGCACATGATGGGCTCATGGGATATTAGTAGATCCTATTTCCTGATCACGGTGGTCATTACACAGTGTCCACTCTGAAAATTCATCTAGCTATATACTCATGGTTTGTGTACTTCATTGTATGTCATTCTTCAATTTTAAAATATATTACAAATCTTGATGATACAAACAAATGAGTCTTTGGTAAACAACCAAACCAATAAACAATAACAATAAAGGCAATGAGAAACTCCAAAAAGAACAAAAAGCTGTAAAAGAGTGTCAAGGATTGAAAAGAAATATTAGCAATTCATGGTGCTAGAAGAATAGAGAATTCTTTCCTTATCATTAGGAATTTCTTCTTTTGAATGATTCATTCAACTTGTGAACAAAATACGGAAGATGTAGTTACGGTTGCAGGACAGATTATAAACGTTAACAACCTTGGCAATGTAAAAATAAATATGTATGTAGGGCGCCTGGGTGGCTCAGAGGGTTAAGCGGCTGCCTTCGGCTCAGGTCATGATCCCAGGGTCCTGGGATCGAGTCCCGCATCGGGCTCCCTGCTCCTTGGGAGCCTGCTTCTCCCTCTGCCTCTTTCTCTCTCTCTGTCTCTCCTGAATAAATAAATAAAATCTTAATGGGGCGCCTGGGTGGCTCAGTCGGTTAAGCGACTGCCTTCGGCTCAGGTCATGATCCTGGGGTCCCGGGATCCAGTCCCATATCGGGCTCCTTGCTCAGCAGGGGGTCTGCTTCTCCCTCTGCCCTCTTCCCTCTCGTGCTCTCTGTCTCTCATTCTATGTCTCAAATAAATAAATAAAATCTTAAAAAAAAAAAAATTAAATAAATAAATAAATATGTATGTATGTATGTAAAAGAGGAAAGTTGGAAGAAAGAGAAGGAATAGCTAAAGGAGAGTCAAGGTATTGACTTAAACAGAACAAAAAACTAGGATAGGAGATTAAACACGGAATCAACAGATGTGCTTCAAGGTAATACAGGAGTGAAGGAAGCGGGCAGACAAAACAACACTGGCTGTACACTGACAATCTGTTTTTTCTGGGTAATGGATAAAGGGGCTTTGTTATACTATTCTGTTTACTTCTAACTACAGTTGAAATCTTCCATAATAAAACGTTGGGTTTTTTTTTTTTTAAGGTAACCATGAGTAAAACATAATGCACCTATCAAACGAAAGAGAAGGGAAAAGGGGGAGGTACTGTGAACTAAATCTTGATGGCCTAAAATATATAAAGTTGGAAAACCGAAAAACAGAGGTATAAACATTATAGGCACAACTGCAAATGATTAAAAAGAGTTGCCTCGCAGAAGTCAAAGTGGGAGTCAAAGGTGTGAGGCATGATAAATCTTTTTTACTACAAGCTTTTTAAAAAAAAAAAAATTTTAGGGCGCCTGGGTGGCTCAGTTGGTTAAGCGACTGCCTTCGGCTCAGGTCATGATCCTGGAGTCCCGGGATCGAGTCCCACATCAGGCTCCCTGCTCAGCAGGGAGTCTGCTTCTCCCTCTGACCCTCCTCCCTCTCATGCTCTCTGTCTCTCATTCTCTCTCTCTCAAATAAATAAATAAAATCTTTAAAAAAAAAAAAAAAAACAAAACAAAAAAATTTTAATTACACATTTTAATTAAAAAACCTATTGCTTTAAAAGCTGATCAAATGTTTAATAGAAAAAATAGCAGTTAAGATGCTTATCATTTATACTTTAAATAAACAATTAGCTCATAAGATGGAAGGATTTATAATATATCTTAACAATACTACCAAGTATTCTAAACCTCATTCTTAATTATATTTTTTAGGTTATGCTATCTTAAAATGAAATAAGTTATCCCTGTATGCTATTAAATTTTATTTTCTCTTGTTAAAAAAAGAAGAGAAGTTATCTCACCAGATTTAATTTAAATGAAATTAATAATTATTAGATTAAATCAGAATAGAACTTTAGCATCATTAAACATCATTCCTGCATTTTACCATTATGATTTAAAATCTAAGCAAGTTAATTGTCATATTTTTTAACTGTCAAGTCTTATTAAAAAGCTGATGATGTAATATAAAATAAAACTAATTATCTTACCTCCTTTTCTTCACCAACTTGGTCCAAACTCTCATGACTTGAAGGATTATATGGAATTACTGAAAACACAATCCCAAACATGGGGGAAAAAAAGAAAAAAAAAAAAAAAAAAAAAAGAAAAGAAAAACATAGCACCTATTAACTGAGTTTGACTTAAAATGTTCTCATGATTTAAGTTTTTCAGAATAAGTTTTCATTATTTAAAATTGAGTATCTGTCTACTAGTAATAAATTGTATGTATTCGTGAGTTAAATCCTAATCTTTAATGAGAGGGGAGAGCAAGAACCAATTAGCAGCCAAGTACTGATCTTAACAAATATTTCTGGTATTTTGAAAATATTTCTCCTCTTCACAAATTAATCAATTCCTTCTGTAAGGGTGACTCTATAAACCTTATTCAGTTATTTTAATATGACTAAGGCATAGAGATAGGTGCCTTTGGTTTTTACTCCTCACTTCCTTCATACTCAAAATGTTCCTAACTACCAAACCACATAGGTCAAGTAAAGAACTGACAAAGATTGAACTCTAGGTATCTATTCCTTAAAGCTACTTCAGGCCAAAAAACCCCCCACATTTCATATAACCAGCTTCTTGCATGAACAAGAAACTATATTCTGTCCTTCCAGAAAAACTCCCTCACCTTCCCTTTCTGGATTCATCTGAGATCAGTACGCTCTGCCCAGTTAATTGCTCCCCAAACTTCGCAGATATATATTTAAGGTTCTGTATCTATTTGACATCTGAGGTCACATGATCTATTTTGAATTTTCAATACTGCATCTCTGTGTCTTTTACATAATTTCACTTCTGATAATAAAGCTTTTAATAAAAACAGATCACCCGAACATTCAACATGACCCACAAAATCCGTATGTTTCATTGTTGAAAAAAACTGGTTTGCTCAATTTAAAAAAAGTCTTAGAAGAAATTTATCTGAATTAGAGAAAAGAGTCATTTGTTGTAGTTTACACAGTTGTCTTCTTAAAACGCCAAAGGTATATGTTAAATATTGTGACTGACAGTACCACTACAAAATAGGGTTAACTAACTTTTAATTTGGGAAGAACATAACTGGTTTTAAACTTAAGTTAAAGAATCACCTAAAGAAGTCTTTAAATGATACTCTGTTGATGAACAATGGTATTCTTACCTGTCTGTGCATGGTCTGAATGCATGGATGACTGGTCCATGGGCATCATTGGTTCCTGCAAACATTTCCAAAGACACAGTGACTTAGTGGGTTCTTTCTAAATCCCAACACCACTATAAATTCAGAAACATTATTTCAACGACACAGCATATCAAAATTTAAACTTGAAAGGATATAACTTGGGGTGCCTGGGTGGCTCAGTAGGTTAAAAGCATCTGCCTTCGGTTCAGGTCATGATCCTAAGGTCCTGGGATGGAGCCCCGCATCGGGCTCCCTGCTCAGCAGGGAGCCTGCTTCTCCCTCTCCCACTCCCCCTGCTCATGTTCCCTCTCTCGCTGTCTCTCTGTCAAATAAATAAATAAAATCTTTAAAAAAAAAAAAAAAAGACTACTCAAGAATATCAACAGTAACCTAAATAATGTTCACAATTTTTGGCCTTGTTTTTTTCCTTAAGATGAGATTTTCACCTCCCTAACGACAAACCCCCCCCCGAGTTTATATGAACTAGCTAAATAATTCTAATGCCAAAGAGCCACCAATAATAACCTACATTCACAATGTCCAAAGAAGATACTATGAATAAATATGGTGTACTCATTCTAGAAGACAATTTAGAAAGATGCATCCAGATCTTTTTTTTTTTTTCTTCAGGCAGGGTAGGGAGGGACAGAGGGAAAGGGAAAGAGGGAATCCTAAGCAGGCTCCATACGCAGCATGGAGCTCACAACCCTGAGATCATGACCTGAGCTGAAATCAAGAGGCAGATGCTTAACTAACTGAGCCACCCAGGCCCCTGCATTCAGATCTTTTTAAAAATGCATATCCTTTAAGCCAATAATTTACTTCTGGATCCTTAAGGAAATAGTAAGATTTATTTACCAGAAAGTTCATTTATGATTTTTGTTACAGGAAAATGTAGAAAACAACTCAAATGTACAATCATGGGGAACAGGTTAAGTAAATTATGACATAGATATATAACAAATTATTCTAAAATTGATAAGGATATAGATAGATATGGAAAGATGACCAAGATATAAAGTTAAGTGAAAAAAATGGGTTAGAAAACAGTATATATATCTCACTTTTGTTAAAAACTATGTAAAAGAATGAGACTCAAACATTATGCACATTCTGAAAAACACTCCACCTTCTATGAAGCAGTCTCAAAAACAATCTACAAAACTTCTAGATCCAACTGTAATACACAGAAATTAAAGAGGACAGGGGAACATTTTAAACATAACCATAAAGAAGCAAAGAGAAAAATACTGTAACACTTTAAATGACAACATAATTTCTGCTATATTTAAATTTTAAGGGGTGGGGGAAAGAGAGAGAGAGAGATGGAAGGAAGAATCAGTAAGTTAAAAAATATCTAGGACACATATCAGTCAACTGCAGATATGGACTACATTTAGATCCTGATTCAGAATGAAAACTGTAAAAACAAAATTTTCACATTTATGAGGCAAATTAAATTTTGAACATTGAACAAAGAATTCTCTTTTTAGTTTTTAAAGAGTCCTTATCTTTTAGATTTGTTTCAAAATAATACAGGATGAAAGCAGGTTATATGGGTGGGGACATAACTGAAATAGGACTGGTCATGAGCTGGTACCTACTGAAGCCGGGTGACTGGTATACGGAAGTTCATTATACTGTTATATCTACAAAAATATTTAAAATTTTTCCATATAGAAAATCTTCCATATAGAAATTTTCTATATGGAAAATTTCAAGTATTTATGCATATAAATTTGCAAAGAAAAAGTTCTGGAAGGATATACACCAGAAGACAATTACCTTTAGACAGTAGATCTCATGGGGGATTTTTATGTAATTTTTCTTTCTTTATCTATATTTTCTATTATGAACATGTTGTAACTGCATATTTAAAATAGAAAGCGAGGGGTGCCTAGGTGGCTCAGTCGTTAAGCGTCTGGCCTTCGGCTCGGGTCATGATCCCAGGGTGCTGGGTTCGAGCCCCGCATCGAGCCCCACATCAGGCTCCCTGCTCAGCAGGAAGCCTGCTTCTCCCTCTCACACTTCCCCCTGCTTGTGTTCCCTCTCTCACTGTGTCTCTGTCAAATAAATAAAGAAAATCTTTAAAAAATAAGAAATAAAATAGAAAGTGAAAATAAAAATTTTAAATTCAAAAACTCCCCAGTAATCTCACACTTTAAATAGCAAACATGAAGCCTCTGACTGTTCTTACCTGATCTGTTTAGTGTAGATGCTAAAACAATGAGAGCTACAAACTATTGAGTTTATCTTAAGAGAAAAAAAGTCTCTTAAATAGTTCTCCCTACCTCTTCCTAATTTAACTAGATTTTGTAGCAGATTAAATCAAGAAGTTAACTACATACCATAAACAAATTTATAATAACAATTCCAAAACTCACAATATGTCAACTGGACTATAAAGTTACATTCTGTAACAACACTGTTGAATTGTGATTCCTTACCACCTCTGTATTTTAGCTCTCTGTCCTAGCAGTGTTACTGAAAATGTTCTATTAAAATAAGACAGTTGTGTCTTACCGGTGGCATAGAATGCCGCCCACATTCGATGGTGACAAGTTTGTGGCACTTCTTATGAACCAGGAGTTTGCAGTTGATGCACTTGTATCCCTGACGTCCAAGTCCCCATATTCGGTCAGTACAGATGGCACAGTGGGCACGCTGGAAAGAGTAATTCAACAGTATTTTATTAACAAATAAAAAGTCATAATCATTTGCCAACAGTTTGCTGATAAAATAGTGAAAATAAGGGGTGGCTGGTGGCTCAGTCAGTTTAAGTGCCTGAATCTTGATCTCGGCTCAGGGAATGATCTCAGGGTGGTGAGAATCTAGCCCTGGGTCAGGGCTCCACGCTGGGTGTGGAACCTGCTTGGGATTCTCTCTCTTCCTCTCCCTCTGCCCCTCCCACCCCCATCCACTCACTCGCTCTCTCAAACAAACAAACAAAAAAAGTGAAAATAAGTGGCTTTCTTCTCTAACTCAATTCCCTTCATCATACATAACTTTTCCAAAGCTATGATGGTCACAGAAAAATAAACAGAAAAGAGTTTTATTTGCAAGAATGAAATCTGCAACCATGTTGTTTTGTTATAAGCTCAAGAATTTTTAGTCTTCACATAAACTCAGAGTATTGAAAATAGTAAAAGTGAATTAAACTTGAAAAATATAGGCAGAAAAAGCTATGCAAGGACTCCCAAGCAAACATAAACCTTCCAGAGGTCAAACCAAAGCCCTGCTCTCAGAGCAATTCCTGAAGTGACTTGCTCATTTCAAAGCTTTTTAAATATCAGGGCTACTGGGAAAAGGATTTTGGGAACCTCGGGTCGTAGCTTTTATTTACGTGAATGAATTCAGAACATGGCACTACTTTTACAATGGAAATAGGGTCCATGTATTTGTAGATATCAAGAGTAGTTAAAAACAATCGACTTCTTTCAAACCTTGGCTCTGCCACTTACTAGCTGTGTCATCTTGGGCAAGTTATTTAACCAACCCACACCTCAGCTTTTTCATCTATAAAACAGAAATACATAGTACCTATCTCACAAGGTTGTTGTAAAGATTAAATGGGTCAATAGATGTCAAGCATTTGGAAAAGTACCTGGTACATAGTAAAAGCTAGGTAAATGGTTTGCAATTATTATTTTTGAAACAGTGGAAGTTAAAATTACACTAAAAGGTTTGCAAAATAAACTTTGCTTATTTTCTGGTTGTCTGGAATTATAGTAAAAAAGCCAACTTTCTTTTAGTTAAGGTAACTATATAATTCAGTCAGGGGTATTTTTTTTTTTTTTTAAGATTTTATTTATTTATTCATGAGAGACACAGAGAGAGAGAGGCAGAGGGAGAAGCAGGCTCCCCGGTGAGCAGGGAGCCCGATGCGGGACTCGATCCCAGGACCCTGGGATCATGACCTGAGCCGAAGGCAGACGCCCAACCATCTGAGCCACCCAGGCGCCCCAGTCAGGGGTATTTTTAAGAGTGAAAGGAGATGCTATTAAAAATTACCTGAAGATAACAGGAATACTGCCCCAGCAAACTGGGAATGTTGTCACCCTACTGACTCCTTTAAAAGGGAAAACAAGACTACTTTTCTTTCACAGTAGTGAGGAAAAAAATAGTTATCTCAAATTATTAATATTTAACAAACTAAGGTTTACCCTGTTGAAACGCTTGGCTTGAAAAGTGTGGCCATTTGCACAATAAAGCTTTCTCCAGCGGCGTGCACCTCTGCGGTAGATGGATTCTAAAGAGAGATAAAAAGTTAAAAAAAGAAAAAAGAGCAACTGTGAATAAAAGTCTTTTTATAATTAAGTCTGTGATTTTTTTTCATGATATTCACTTCAAGAAAAAAATACCCTGATAAAAACCTGAAAGTGAAAAAAATAAAATAGATTCACCAAGGGACTAAATGAAAACAAAGCCCATGGAGTAAAAATGTATTAAAAATTACTATTCAGTCTTCTCTGTCTTTTAATTTTCCCCCCAATTTTTGGGCGCCTGGGTGGCTCAGTCGATTAAGCGTCTGCCTTCAGCTCAGGTCATGATCCCAGAGTCCTGGGATCAAGTCCCGAATTGGGCTCCCTGAATAGTGGGGGAGTCTGCTTCTCCTTCTGCCCCCTCTGCCCCCAGCCCCCACTCATGCTCACTCTCTCACTCTTACAAAAGTAAAATAAATAAAATTAAAAAAAAAAAATTTCCCCCAACCTTTAATTTTGAAAAATCTTAAGCCCACAGAAAAGTTGAAAGAACAGAATAATAAACAGCTGCATCCTTCACGTAGACTTACCAATATCTAACATTATGCCGCATTTGCTTTCCTCTCTATACACGTGCCTTTTTTATGTCTGCATCATTTAAAAGTAAGTTGCAGATATAACACTTCACCCTTAAACACCTAAGTATCCACTCACTGCCTTAGATTAAGGGCGTTTCCCCTAATTCTACTTAACCCTAATACCATTACCATGTCTTAGAAAATCAACATTAATTCAATATCATCTGATAGACAGCTCAAATGCAAATAGCCCTGTTTGTCCTCAAAGTATCTTTCATAGCTTTCTTTTTCTCTCCAGGATCCAATCAAGACTAAGTATTGCCTTTGGTTGCTATACTTTTTTTGTCTCATGAATGTATGCTGAAACGGTCAGGCTGCCATATTTGCTGTTGTTTATTCTTTGTGATATTGATTTTTTTTTTTTAAAGAGTCCAGGCAGTTGTCTTATATTATGTCCTACATTCCGGATTTGTCTGTTTCCTCATTAGAATCAGTATCAAATATTTTTGGCAAAAATAATATATAGGTGATATGTATTGCTTGTATCACATCAAGAGATAAACAAATGTCAGATTGCTGACTCCCAGTTCAACCACTCTGTTAAAGGCAGTGACTGTTTCTTCTCTTCATTGTAAAGGTATATTTTACTTACTTTCATAGATGCTCTAAAAGGGACACTTTGTGGGCGCCTGGGTGGCTCAGTTGGTTAAGCGACTGCCTTTGGCTCAGGTCATGATCCTGGAGTCCCGGGATCGAGTCCCGCATCGGGCTCCCTGCTCGGCAGGGAGTCTGCTTCTCCCTCTGACCCTCCCCCCTCTCATGTGCTTGCTCTCTCTCATTCTCTCTCTCAAATAAATAAATAAAATCTTTAAAAATAAAATAAAATAAAATAAAAGGGACACTTTGCAACCACAAGAATACCTTCCCCATTAATCTTTTTTTTTAGGGGGGGAGAGGGAGAAGGAGAGGGAGAGAGAGAATCTTAAGCAGGCTCCACGCCCAGCACTGAACTAAGGTGGGGCTGATCTCGTAACCCTGAGATCATGACCTGAGCTGAAATCAGAGTCAGAGGCTGAACGAACTGAGCCACCCAGGCGCCCCTCCCCATTAATCTTTAATCCAATGGTTTTTATATTAATACTTTTTCTAAACAAACTAAGAGGTTCCATAAGACCAAATCTAGTTGACCTGTGTAATTCTGGTTAAGTAAGTCAATCACTATTATACATACTGTCTATTAGTCATTAATATTCCACAGCAATAGTTAATATACTGGTAGAAAGAGTCCATTAGGTTTCTAAACTCATATTTTAAAGCAGATGTAGCACTGGGTTTATCATTTAAAATTAAGATAGAAAAAACGAGTTGAAATGCTCTGAATTAGAAATCTTAAGATAGCATAATACAGAACTATAAATACAGATGCTTGGGGAGCCTGGATCGAGCCCCACGTTGGGACTCCCTGCTCAGTGGGGTGTCTGCTTCTCCCTCTCCCCCTGCCTCTCCCCCTGCTTGTGCTCTCTCTCTCTCAAATGAATAAATAAAATCTTGAAATAAATAAATAAATAAAACAGATGCTTTTATTTTTATTTATTTATTTACTCTGTTAGGAGTAACCAAAGCAGAAAGTTTCTGTTAATCGTATCTTAACCTAGGGGTGCCTGGGTGGCTCAGTCTTTGATCCATCCATCATTGGAACCCCGGCAAAATATTCTTAACTGAATCCAGACCTAAATTTTTTACTATTGCTTCAGGGTTCTACCTACTTCCTTAAATTTCCCCATTTCCTATATAGTACATGGCCCCCATTCAACTCTATATAAATATTCATAGCTCTTTAATTTTTCCTTTTCACCAAGTTGCAGGAAGAGTCACAGAACTGGGGTGCCTGGGTGGCTCAGTCGGTTAAGTGTCTACCTTCGACTCAGGTCATGATCCCAGGATCCTGGGACTGGGTCCCACATTAGGCTTCCTGCTCAGCAGGGAGCCTGCTTCTCCCTCTGCCTACCGCTCCCCCTGCTTGTGCTCTCTCTCTTTTTCGCTCTCTCAAATAAATAAATAAAATCTTAAAAAACAACAACAAAAGAGTCACAGAACTAAAAGTTTAGAACTACTTTACTTAACTCAAGGGAAAACACCACTATTCTTTCTAAAGTCATGGCCATGTGCAGAAACCAGAAATGAAAATGAGTAATATCCACAACTAATAAGTTATACTGAATATCAAAAGCAGTAACTTATGATCATAAGTAAGTTTACGTATTTAAGTTCCATCAGACCAGAGAGTTGACTCTTTTAGTTCTTCTTACTAATGATAACTATCAGCCTAGACATTCAAAAGAAAATCCCTAACAATTTCTAACTACACATGCTCAAGTCTTTAGAGAGGAAGCATCATGTTACTTTCAAATGGTACACTAAAAAAATAAAAATAAAACAAGCATGTTTCTTACGTATATACATGTATGCCTATGTGTGAACACATACAGATGCAGAGATAAAGCAAACACAGAAAATGTTGATAATTGGTCAATGAAGGCAAAGGATATCTTTGTGTCTTTGTTTTCAATGTTGTTTCAACTTCTCCATAGGTTTGAAAATTTCCAAAATTAAAAACCAGAAAGGAACATGACTTAAAATTCACTTAATTTTCCTTTCAAATGCACAACAGACCCTTACGTCAGTAACTTGTAACTAAGAACTGCCTGATTTTCATCTGGCAAAAGCAGAGAATTTAGGCAGTTGCTAAGATAGTCTAAATTAGACTAAAGAATGCAAAAGAAATCAAATAGACTAAAAGTTCTATTTCTGGTTTCCTTTCACTTGTGCCATTGTGCCGTAAGTAACTCTACACTCAAAGATGTGAAGTGTATACACACTCACTGTCTTCTCCTGGACAGGGCATTCCAGGACGTTCTGGTACACAAGGGAAGACTGAAAGAAATTAAATTAAATTAATATAGCAAATTAAAAACATACAAATTACAAAGAATTTTAATTTCTAGTATCAAAAAAACTGACCCAAATTTCAACCTGACTCTCTCTTAGCATGTGGTCAGTAATATTTTTTCAAGGGATTCATTTATCAAGGCTATATGAAAGAAGTTTTCATGAAAAGTGAACAGCCAAAATCAAGCACACTAGAAGCTCAAATTATTCATGCTAGTCCCTGTTATGTTACCAATTGATTTTTTTTTGTCCTTAGAGAAATCATTAACTACTATTTCCCTAAATCTTTGTTGTACTGTCAAATTTGCTACAATGAAAAATTAAAACTGAATTACAAAAATATATACAAATATGAACATAAACCATTACAGTTCTTAAATGATGTATACTGAATTTAGGAAAAAATTTACACCACTAAGAGTACTCAAATCCAAAAAATGTAAGTTTTATCTTAGGAACTATAAATTTATAAATAGGCTAATTCAGACCATTTTTATAAAGAGATAGAATATAAAGACATAGTGTATTTATGAACTAGCCAACTATTTGTAGTCTATGATGTACAAAAGGACATGGCTTAAAAAAAACACAAAACACGATGTATGAGGAGAAGCTCAGGTCCCAATATATTCTTAAAAGTTGAAATATAAGCTAACTTCTAAAAACAGTTCTGTGATATGGTATAAAAATAATAAAAACTTAAAACAAACTGTTAATACTATTGATAAATTCACTTCTTTAAACATTCACTGTAGTTTTATTCTAGAAAGAGATGACTCCAAAAATGGATGACTTCTGAAGTTCTGCTAGGACCTCAATAAGTTAGATTATGGATCCCTTAGGAGTCACTATGTCAAACTCTGAAGGTAGAAAAATATTAAGCTACTGATTTTTAAAAAACACACTATAAAGAAAAGTACATAGGAATCATAACAAGGAGCTGACTCATTATACTTATGGGAGATTTATATTTGTTCAAGTTTTAAAGAGTTCTGTACGTCTGGTCTCCTAAAAATGTTACATGAAATATTGCCAATGAAATGCAATATATAAGTGGGTTTTACATGACATAAAAAATCTGAGGGGTAGCATAGTAGAATGAAAAGAACATTGACTTGGAAGCAGAATACCTAGATTTTATACCCAGGTCTACAATGCACCATTACATGATGGCTGAGTTTTGTCTCTTCTATACCACTATCCAGCTTGTGGGTCCGCAGATGTTTAACACACTGATCTCTATAACTATGTAAGTAGTTTCACTGTTAACCCTCAAATAAAAGAAAGGACATTTCAGATACCTTCTCTTTGGAGATTATTATTTGCATACATTACCAAACTGCAAGGGAATGACTTAAAATTCTACTAGGCACTCAATTTTAAATTCTCTCCTAAACTTTGCTGTGAAACACTTGAGAGATGAGCAGCTTAATATCCATGAAGGCATACCCAAATAACAAATTCCCCAATATTATAAGACAATTGATTTTATTTTCTCTAGCATTTGAGAAGCTACTAAATACGAACAATTACATAGCAGTGAGGGATAGAGATTAAGAAAAAGACATCAGAATTATGTTTTAAAATGGTCAAGAATATAGCGTTATTTAAAAAAAATTATAGCTCTAGAAGAGTAAGAAATGACTACTCCTTTACCATGAATCAAGAGTTCAGAATCCTTGTTTAGCTCATAAAGCCTAAAGGCTTCTTCTAACTCCAACTGAGATGATACTGTACACGGGTCTCCTAAAAAATATAAAAAATAAAGCAAAGCTCACTTTTTAAATCCTCTAAAATGTAATGTTTAATAAACAATTTTCATTGCATAAAATCTTGAGCAATAACAATTTCCATTATATAAAATCTTGAGAAAAACAAATATATATATATACATAGAGAAGTATCTGACAAGGACAAATTTTAGATACTTATTTAGACAATTCTATTTTCTAAAGTAGGTAACATAACTTCCCTAACATATACAGTGATAGTGTAACTATCACTACAAAATATTACATGAGCCTCATCGATACCAAATTTGATACATATAAAAACCATTTAATTCTCAATAACATGTATATTCAAAATATAGCAAACGGAATCTACCCTGACCACATCTGGACTGTTACTACAATATGACTAATGGCCAGGGACAAGCTTTCTGTTACCTACCTCTTCAAAGGAGGAAGTGAAAGTGGTTTCACTGCCATAATATGGTTGGTTAGAGGCCTCCATGTAATCATTCTGTCCATTTTTTCCTTCACCTGAGAGCCTTTCTTCACCCAAGAGGTTCACAGAAAGGAAGCACAGCTACTAAAGTACTTTGGACTAAAGAGCAGTCCTGCTTGAGCTGCTTTTAAATGTGAATGCATAGTTTTAGTAAACTTACCCACAAAAAGGCCAAGGGAGAAACACCTCCCTAGTCAACCAGCCAAAGAACTGAGTCATCCCTGGTAAACAATGAGATGGCACATCTCCCCAGATGATGGCATTCCTCAATGAAAAAGTCATTTTGATCACAGTTGGGGCCTGAGCTGGGTCCTCCACACTGCAATGCTTTTGCACATTCCTGTGGTTACACCAAATGTGACCACACACAAGATGCCACCAACCTTATCCAAACCTCAATCACTCTCAGCAGAGAACTATGTCTATTACTCAAGAGAGAAAAATGAAGCCATCTCCTTTCCTGCAGTCCCAGAGAAATGAGTGCTTCTATACCTTTCTCCAACTTGGAGATTCCCTTATTGAATCTCTTCCTTTTATCTTCTCTGGGCCTTATCCCATTAGTCCCCTTCAGTTCCGTTTTCATTTTTTCTTTCCTTCCACTAGCTCTTCTCAGGCAAAGGCATGTCTGAGTCTCCCTCTCAATAATCTCCCTCACACTCAGGCTGCCATGCCATTCATTCAGTAGCCACATGTCTCAAGAGCAAACTGAAGACTGAAACTGGAGGGGGTGGGTGAGAAGAAGGGGAAGAAGGGCCTTCGGTTTTTGACCTCATACTTTTCTTTCGTGAGTTTAGTCAGAGGTTTATAATCTTTTAGACTTATTAGAAATAACTTTTCTTAATATCAAGAGCAACCCGGGCGCCTGGGTGGCTCAGTTGGTTAAGCGACTGCCTTCGGCTCAGGTCATGATCCTGGAGTCCCTGGATCGAGTCCCACATCGGGCTCCCTGCTCGGCAGGGAGTCTGCTTCTCCCTCTGACCCTAACCCCTCTCATGTGCTCTCTCTCTCAAATAAATAAATAAAATCTTTAAAAAATATATATATATATATCAAGAGTGACCCCACCCTGCTTTCTCCATGTTCCTATCCTCTCAAAATTCCGCTAACCGGTTTTAGTCCACACACTCTACTAAAACTACTATATCCAAGGTCATGAAAAGAGCCGCTAAAATCAACAGGACCTTTTCTGTCTTTACTCTAATGGACCTCTCTATAGCATCTAACAAAGTTGCCCACTGACTATAGAAACTCTGCATCTAGGTTTCTTTTTTTAAAACTTATTTTATTTAAATTCAATTAGTTAACATATAGTGTATCATTAGTTTCAGATGTAGAGTTCAGTAATTCATCAGTTGCATGTAACACCCAGTGCTCATTACATCACATGCCCTCCTTAATGTCCATCACCCAGTTACCCCATCCCTCCACCAACATGCACCTAGGTTTCTAAACACCATTCTCCTGGTTTACTAACTCTCCTTTTTAACTTTTCATTTTGGAAATTTTCTTTTTCTTTTTTTTTTTTAAAGTAGGCTCCACTCCCAGCCTGGAGCCCAGTGCAGGACTTGAACTCATGACCCTGAGATCAAAATCTGAGCTGATATCAAGAGTCAGGCACTTAACCAACTGAGCCACCCAAGTGTCCCTCATTTGGGAAATTTTCAAACATATTACCAAATCTGGATTCCCCCTACATATCCACTCACTTATTCCCTTCTACCTTATCATTCTGAACAAAAATCTGTAACTCTAGATTAAAATTCCTTTCTATAGGGGCGCCTGGGTGGCTCAATCATTAAGCGTCTGCCCAGGGTCCTGGGATCAAGCCCCGCATCGGGCTCCCTGCTCCAAGGGCTCCCTGCCCCACGGGAAGCCTGCTTCTCCCTCTGCCACTCCCCCTGCTTGTGTTCCCTCTCTAGCTGTTTCTCTCTGTCAAATAAATAAATAAATAAAATCTTTAAAAAAATAAAAAAATAAAATAAAATTCCTTCCTATAATCACAATACCATTATAAACCTATAAAGACTAACAAAAATTCACTATAAAATATCCAAACATAACCATATGCAAAAGAATAAAGTTGAACTTTTATCTTATACCATACACAAAAATTAACTCAAAATGGATGAAAGACTTAAATTTAAGAGCTAAAACTATAAAATCCTTGGAAGAAAACATAGGGAGAAAGCTTCATGACATTGGGTTTGGCAATGATTTCTTGGATTTGACACCAAAAGCACAGGCAAGAAAAAAAATGAACATTAGTCCAAAGAAGATATACAAATGGCCAATGAGCACACACAAAGATGTTCAACATCACCAATCATTAAGAAAATGAAAATCAATGAGATACCTCCTCCTTGTGATGAGACTACACAGAGAGGGAGAGAGAACCAACCAGGCCAGCATCCCTGGTGAGCGTGCATGACTCCAGACCCAGCTGTCCTCTGGTTGCCACTGCATGAGAGACCTCTTGTGAGACCAGCAGAGCCAGTCAACTCACAGAAGTGTGAGAGATTATAAAATAAAGTGGTGGGGGTTTTTTAAAGCTACTACACTTTGAGGTGAGTTGTTATGGAACCAACAACTTACCACCAACTTTTAAGTCGAATCGTGAAATTCTGTGAATCTTTACAAGACCCAGGACAAATGCCACCTATTCTGAACAGCCTTACCTCAGGAGGTAATATTTCACATTTTATGAAAAGCTTAAGGATAACCTAATTTTTAATAATATCTTTATTGAGATATAATTCACATAGCATTCAATTTACCCATTTGAAGTGTCCAGTGGTTGTCAGTATGTTCACAGAGCTGTCAACTATCAATATAATTAATTTTAGAACATTTTCATTATCTCCTCCTCAAAAAAGCCCCTTGCCCATAGCGGTCACTCTCCATTTCCCCCCAAACTCTCCTCCTACTGCCAGATCTAGGCAACCACTAATCTATTTTCAGTACCTAGATTTGCCTTTTCTGGACATTTCATATCAATGGAATCATACAGAATGTGGTCTTTCATGTCTGTCTTTTTTCCCTGAACATGTTTTCAAGGTTCATCCACGTTGTACAATGTATCAGTACTTCAATCCTTTTTATTAGTGAATAATATAGCAAATATTCTTGAAGTATTTGTGTGTTTGAATAACTTCTCATGATGATTTCCTAAAAGTAGGATTGATTGGTTTAAAGTGGGCCCATTTGGGGTGCCTGGGCAGCTTAGCCGGTTAAGTTTCCAACTCTTGATTTCGGCTCAAGTCATGATCTCGGGGTTGTGAGATCGAGCCATGCAACAGGCTCCGTTCCCAGCAGAGAGTCTGCTTGGGATTATCTCCCTATCCTTCTCCCTCCCTCTCTGTCCCTCTCCCTGCTCGTGCTCTTTCTCTCTCTAAAATAAACCTTTAAAAAAATAAAATAAAGTGCCCCCATTTAAAATTTTGACAATTATTCCAAAATTTAGAATGACAGGAACTCCAAAAGGTCATCATATACACAATCAACAGCATATCTTTCCTAACTCCCTATAATTACTAAATTTTAAATCTCTTCTAATCTGATAGGTGAAAATGTCTTATTTTTAAATCTTTGGTTTTTTAAATTAGTAATTTTTGAGCTTTTTTGGGTCATTTATGAATTAGCTATCTACACTTGTTTAAGTAGATTTTTCATCTATTTTTTTGACCTAATTATTTTGTATTAGAGATAGCAATCCTTTGTAAATGTTACAAATATTTTCTGTCAGTTGTTACTATTCTTATATCTGTGATTATGGTGTTTTCTAACACACAAAATTAGGAAAATTCTTCCCTTTTTACATTTCCTTTTTCAGAATTTTCCTGTTTATTTTTCCAGTTTTTTAAAATTCCCATTAGAATTTTTTGGAAGTATCATGCTCTTTATAGATTGATCTGTAGGGAGCTCTCATTTTACACGATGCTTCTTCCTAACCCCATTCATTTTAAGTTTTGCTTATGGCATCCAGTTGTTTTTGTTTCAGTTTCTTTACATGGTTTCTTCACATTTTTATTTTTTTTAAAGATTTTATTCATTTATTTATTTGCCAGAGAGAGAAAGAGCACAAGCAGAGGGAACAGCAGGCAGAGGGAGAAGCAGGCTCCTCTCCGAGCAAGAAACCTGATGCAGGACTCAATCCCAGCACCCTGGGATCACGACCCAAGCAGAAAGCAGATGCTTAACTGACTGAGCCACCCAGACATCCCTCTTCACATTTCTTTAAAGTTTATTTCTAGATTTAAAAAAAAATTTTTGTTGTTACTATGGATGAAATCTTTTCTTCTGATATACTTTCTGAGTATAATCTACATAAAAGAAAGACTGGTTCTCTCATATACCCACTTTATAACTTAGTGTTATTGATATCTTTAAAATGCTACATGAAAAATAGTGAGTCAAAATGATTCAGTCAGGTTACACAGATACACCATTTTTGGATCAACACTCAATACACTGATAATAACAAGTATTGGTGAGGTTGTAAAGAAACTGGAACCAATCCT